ATGTGTGTGTGTATAAGTGCCAGCCAAAAAGTAGGCAACACAGTTGTTCTTTATTAACTTGACGCTAATTCACATTAAAATAAACATTTTTAATTGCACGCAACATTAGTGAAATACAGTGAATGCACAGCTGAATGACTATCCAGTAATCAAAAATCGTTATCGTTAAAATATAGATGCCTAACTTGTACATATGTATGTATGAGTCAAGGYTTCTATATAATACAAAATTCAGTTTCATTTTAGCACTTTGTGATATTCTATTAAGTAAACCCATTACTCTGGCTACATTAGTGCACCTTATCAGCATGTTGGATTGAAACCCTTTCACATAAATCTGCGTAGGTGTTGAGGTGCTTGCTCGTGTTTTTGTATTTGTGTGGGTCTGAATGTGCGTGTGTGTGCGCCCATTGCGGGATAGTTATAGTGAAGCTTGTTTGATTGATTTATTATGCACGGGGCGCTTTCACTCTTCTAGCTGTCAGTGGGTGGGTATCCTGGCGGAAGGAATGTTTGTTGTCTTTATTATTTGTAATTACGCTGATTGATTGTTATGTCTGCATGATACGTTTACGTTCCATTCAGCTACTTCACGTTCGACTTCAGTTGTCTGTGTATGCGAAGTTACTTTTGTTTAGCACTTTCTCTCTCTCTATCTCTCTCCCTATTTCTCTCACTGTCAAGTAAGAAGGAAATTGATACAAACTGCAATTAAGATGGCGGCCAGTGATAATTTTACTTAGTGCACAAAAGTATGCAACGCGAATGTCGATCGAGCCGTTAGTCACCTGAGCAACACAGCACCGCACCATAAGCAGTGAAGCAATCAGTTCTTCAAGCGTATGGAAATTAGCACCTGCACATAAAACATTTGCCGACTTCCCACTTGCAACAAGCATTTTCCTCCCACCTTACAACGATTTAAATAAATAAATAAGCAAAGAACCCGTAAAACATAAACTACAAGAACACTTTTACCGTTTAACGCAACATCGACTATGGCGAACACAGCGCAATTGCTACGCCGTCAGAGCTCGCGCGACATTGTGCTCAAGACCCAGAGGAGCATCGATCAATTGGAACTGCGAGTGAGTTGATATTATAGGTCTTACCTATTTGAGATTAACTCCATTTCTATGGACTCAGGAGTTGCGTGGCCGCCTGGTGCCCAAGGAGCATGGCGTCAGTCATCATCATCACACATCGCTGCATCACCATCATCAGCCCATGTACGGCGCAACGAATCAGGGCTTCATGTCCGATGCCTTCGATGAGTCATCCGAATTGGAGCAAGAGCCACCTTTCGGCTCGGATGCGAGCACTAGCCGAATTAAGGCCGAACTCTCCGCTAACGTGGATCAACAGCAGCAACCGCAGCAGCAGCAGGACATCGTTGAGGGCGAAAAGGAGGGCGAGGAGCGCGAGAGCTGGGATAGCAAAATCATGTTCCTGCTAGCCACCATTGGGTAAGCAATAATTACTCTAACAATATCATATTCATCTATCAGATCTTATATTTAACTCTTTGCTATTATGATGCTATATGGTGAATACTCTTGGAGCAGAAGACTTAGACCATGTATCATACATAGACTTCCCTAATGATATTTCAGAACCAAGTTGAAGTGCATTAAACTGGTTGAAGATAACTCTGAGCATGAGCATGGGCTAGCAATGTTCTGCGCAGTCTTTCATTTTATTTAGTACATTTCATTAAAATCGTCGGGAAGAGGGAGGAACTGAGCCCTGTTCAGCTTAGTGCTTCGGGTATCTCCTAGTCGGGTGTGAGCTGGTCTTCATAACTCAATGAGCACACTTATTTACAAATATAAAAATCTTCTTCTTCTTCTTCATTTGCAGCTACGCAGTTGGCCTGGGCAATGTGTGGCGGTTTCCGTATCTGGCGCAGAAGAATGGCGGAGGCGCTTTCCTGGTGCCCTATTTCATAATGCTGTGCATACAGGGTATACCGATTTTCTATTTGGAGCTGGCCATTGGTCAACGACTGCGCAAGGGAGCGATCGGTGTGTGGAGCCAGGTGTCGCCGTACCTGGGCGGCATTGGCATCTCGTCGGCTGTGGTCAGCTTCATTGTAGCGCTCTACTACAATACGATAATTGCCTGGTGCTTGATCTATTTGCTACACAGCTTCGAGTCGCCATTGCCGTGGGCCGACTGTCCGACTCGGCTCTATAAGAACTATACATACGACCATGAGCCAGAGTGCGTGGCCTCGTCGCCGACCCAGTTCTATTGGTATCGCACCACTCTGCAGTGCTCGGAGAGCGTGGACATGCCGGAGAGCTTTAATTATCACATGGCCATTGCGTTGATAGTGTCCTGGTTTTTGGTCTACATCTGCATGGTGCAGGGCATCACGTCGTCAGGCAAAATCGTCTATATGACGGCCATCTTTCCGTATGTGGTGCTCATTATCTTCTTCTTCCGGGGCATCACACTCAAAGGTGCCGCCGACGGCGTGGCTCATCTATTCACGCCCCGCTGGGAGACGCTGCTCGACCCGGTCGTGTGGCTGGAGGCTGGCACCCAAATCTTCTTCTCACTGGGACTCGCCTTTGGCGGCCTGATCGCCTTCAGCTCCTACAATCCAGCTAACAACAATTGCTACAGGGATGCTATTCTGGTGTCGATGACCAACTGCGGCACCTCAATGTTTGCGGGCGTCGTTGTCTTTGCGGTGATTGGCTTCAAGGCAACGGCCACCTTCGACCGCTGCACAGAGGAACGAGCTGGCCTCGTGGCCCTGAATCGTACGCACAACTTACCCGTTTGCGATCTACAACAGGAGTTGGCCAATGTGAGTGGAGATACCTTCCAGTCTACCACACTCAATGTCCTCTTTAATTGTTTCCTTCCCTTTGGCAGAGCGCATCTGGCACAGGGCTGGCTTTTATCATATTTACTGAGGCGATCAATCAGTTTCCTGGCGCCCAGCTCTGGGCTGTGCTCTTCTTTCTAATGCTCTTCACCTTGGGAATAGATTCGCAGTTTGGCACGTTGGAGGGCGTGGTCACGTCGCTGGTGGACATGAAACTCTTTCCCAATCTGCCAAAGGAATATATCGTGGGCGTATGTATCCTTCGCACCTAACTTATCCTATATAGACTTGTTATACCCTGAGCCCATTGAAAATGCGAAATCAGGATATAATGGTTTTGTGAAAAAGTATGTAACGGGCAGAAGGAATCATCGCAGAACCCATAAAGTATATATATTCTTGATAAGCATACGAGCTGAATCGATATAGTCCTGTCCGTCTGTTCGTCCGTCCGTCCCTCCGTCCCTCCGTCCGTATGAGTGCGTGGATCTCAGAAGTTATAAGAGTTAGAGAGCTGAAAAATTGATTATGTTTTTCAGCCTAATTTGAACACTTTTAGACCCAGAGACTTCAGACTTTCTGTGTATATACAGTATATACACAGTATACCACGATCGATACGAAGATTTTGTAATTTACAGATTTTTGGATACCACGCCGACTTCGCCCCCAATTTGTAAAAAACGAGTTTCAAGTACTAGAGACTTGTGCGTGGAATGTACACAGATTTTAACCATATGATCAGATTGTACATATACAAAAGAAATTATTCATTAAGTAAATCCTCATAATATTGCCCACACTGCAGCGCAGAGCGCGTGATTATACGTGCGTGTGGATGCATGTGTATGTATATGTGTATAAAAGAAGTGCAGAATGATTAGAATCTCAGCTTGGAGGGTTCAGGGTATCTCCTAGTCGAGCAGTCTCGACTGGAGCCTTCTTACTTGTTTCTGTTTCTGTTTTGTAGGCGCTTTGCCTCTCCTGCTGTCTGATCTCCATGTGCTTTGCCAACGGCGCTGGCAGTTACATCTTTCAGCTAATGGACAGCTTTGCTGGCAATTTCCCACTGCTGATCATTGCGCTGTTCGAGTGCCTCTCGATCAGCTATATTTATGGTGTCAGGCGCTTCTCCGATGACATTGAGATGATGACTGGCTCCAGGCCGGGTTTCTACTGGATGTTCTGCTGGAAGTATTTGTCGCCCTGTGCCATGGTCACCATCCTACTGGCCTCCTTCTACCAACTGGTGACCGAGGGCAGCAGCTATCCGGCCTGGATCGCGGCCACGGGTGCCACTGAGAAAATGGAATGGCCGCACTGGTGCATTGTCATCGCTTTCATACTGATCCTTTCATCCATACTGTGGATTCCACTCGTCGCCATATTGCGGTAAGTAAAGTATGTCTCATAAGCATTTAATAAAGTAATATAGGAATATGCGTACTTATTCCTGCGGTTAATTATTTATTTTTTATTATTTATTACACATATATTAATTGGAATCTAGTTCAAAGATTCTTCAGATATAAAAACATAACAATAAATTTGTTATGTAGCTTTTTCACATACTTTTTACTTGATTACAAAATGTATAAAATTTTTAAGAAAGAGTAAAGCTTAGATGTGATTTATTATTGATAACATAACATGTAAGTATATCAAATAGCTTTAGCACCATATTAGAACGCAATGCTAAGCTTAACGAAGCTACTTCACACATAATTGGATATATTTTTTGTAAATTTGGTCATATTCACTGTTGAATCTGACTTTTTGAATTCTAGTCTATGTGGCATTAAGGTGGTTGAGGACTCAGATCCCGCCTGGTTTCCTGAAGCAGAGCTCAGGGAGGTACATGGCATTGTGCCGCATGAGCCTACCGAGCTGGAGCGCAGTGTCTTCTGCTTCAACATGGATGGAACGGAAGGCATGTGCTGTCCCAAGTATGGGTTACCCGAAAAGTCGCTCGAGGAGGAGGAGGAGTAGGTATGGCTAAGTCATCTGCAAATCTCGACAATAACAAAAAAAAATTAAGCAGTTAACTGTAAATATAAATGAACTATAAAAAAAAATAAAAAAATAAATAAATAAAAATCCAATGGATGCAGTGTCGGTAGCTCCCAAGTATGTATCTATATGTTCCCAAAGACTGTCCAAAGCCAAAAACAACTGTAGAAGTAGCAACGCACCGCAAGAAATACAGGAACCCTAAGAAAACACAGAAAACAAAATAGGTGAACTTAGCGCCTTCTGCGCGGTTTCAGCAACTGCAAGAAATAAGAAAATGATGAAATACGAGTATGAACCGAAAAAGAATTCTTTAATAATAATCAATTGAAAAAGAAAACACATAAATATCTAAAAAATGCTTTCACAAAATTCCATTTAGTATGTTCAATGTACTACAACTAAATATCTATGTGTATAAAGCAGTTGGCATAGCAAACAATATGGATTCAGATACTAGGATATAACTATATTTACCCTGTAGCTAGAATATCGATATATGTAAATATATCGAGAAGTGTAAGAGCTATCAAAATTGATCAAAGTAGCTTGGTGTGCGATGGGCATGGGGATACCAAGGACATTTCCTGTTTGGTAATATATCCTGGGTTTTTCGAGTGTCATAATATTATCATATATACTTATTTATAAAACAAGCTAGTGTGTAAAATCTGGCCACAGGTATCTACACGTCGTGCATTGTCGACAATTGCACCTATTTGTTTTCTTTCTGCCTCAATAGAGCTATAAGTGGGACATACCAATACAATGGTCGAGCTTTGTTTTTGGCATTGCCCATATTCAGACAGACATATGTATATGTCAAAATATTTCTGATTTCCGTTTTTGAAGTTGATTCTTTAATTTTGTTGACTTAAAAGAAAAGAG